TTGGACAAACCTGTGTTGACCGTAGAGGTTTGCTTTCTTTTCCAGCATTTAAAAAATAGGCCGAATCCATATCCTCCTTACAGATAGTCACAGATCAGCGAAGTTCGCTTCATTGTATTACGCCGTACTATGATGATGATGATGACAATGATGACTTGGTCAATTAGTAGCCATTTTTCCACTAGGCCCAAAATAGTCTCATTAGCATTTTGTACCCTTAAAAAAGTTTCATGTCCACAACAATTTCAGCACTGTGAAAATCAGAAATATCTGTACCCTTTGGCATTTGCTAAATTAAGACATTTGTGGCGCCATCGCGACATCCGGCTGTCTGTGAGGGGCTAAATGTATGCTGCTTCAGTTGGGCCATTACTGGAACAGGATAAAAATAGATCGTCAGTCTTCAACACCGCTGCCTACGCCGCATTGAACGAGTCTCGTGGTGGAACCCGACAAGCAGTGCTGAGATTAGGTGCAGAGGTTTAAGTAATCGCAGTTGTCCACTGGAGCAGGTAGTAGACCTTCATAAATTACGCTGGTTGGGACATGTGCTACGCATGACACTAGATAGGTTGCCACGGCGAGCGATGTTTGCAAGGCAGGTAGCAATTGAAGAAAGATCAAGCGAGGTCAAACTAAACTGGCATGAGGTTATGAAAATCGTAACCAGGAAACTGAGTCCCGTTAGGCTCCTTGGACCCCGAGATCATAGTCACCGATGATTAAAGACAGTGATCGATATGGCTGGATATTGTAAACAGTGGCGCACATTACTCATTATCATTGTAACTTCATTCTATATGAATTCGCTACCTTTCACTTGAATTTGCTCACAATATCCCAATCTTCATTCCTTGGATTTACCCAGATGGACAACCTAAAGACAGCAACCAAAACCGGCGCACGAAAATGCATGCTTAATGGGTGTAAGAAATAATTTGAACTGAACTGAAAATGATGTATGATCCCATTTCAAAAGCGGAAAGCGGTTGTGCAGAGTTAAGCGAGAGTATAAATAGTCTTGGAAGCGTTATGCTGCCTATACCGCTCAGCGCCCTGAACCGCTGATTTGGCTGTCCTCAAGTTCCAAGACCGGGAATTCTCACAAAAGTAAAGTGATTGAGGATTTTGAATCCTTATTTCATATCAAGATTTGACGACTCCACTGTGGATTGGGTCAAGGCTCTTATCGCAGTTCTCTCGTTATGGAATGGAGCCTGACTGTATGAATGAAAAAAAACAGACTGTCGCACAAACATATATATATATGCCGTACAACGGTAAGGCTTTAACACAACGGGTTCCGGACTGAACCGACGTGATCCGTCATCAAATAGGAATTGCAAAGGCAGAGACATCCAGCAAGCGAATTTGCTAGTAGACAACCTATGCTCTCTTAGTACTGAGGCTTTTTCTGATAGGATCTGACGTAGGTGGCCCCTTCATGCCCCAGGGCTTGGAATGATGAATATCACGAGGTTATGCGGTTCACAACTACAACTTATACTCATAAGGTGTCTAATGAAACTGGCAAAGACAAAGAAAACATTTGGAACACTGCGCGGACATTCGCTGACAAAAAAAATAAAATAAACCGCAAAAGTAGTCACCTGCTTATTAATGACTTCGGACTTGATAAACCCAGACGAGTTACATCATGCAAGTAAGAATATGCGTAAGGCGCATGCGAAATCTAGGACACACCAATTAAAAAGCATCATGGAAAGGGTCACAACATAACTACGAATAGCTAATCTGAATGTTAGAATATGGCTTTTTTGAACTCACAGACGAGGGACAATGCTGGAAACATACTGCACCGTTTCGTACAAGTTGTTCACCTTCCTCCCACTTTTATGCTCTTCAATCAAATAAGTCTCTAAAATTCGAAGCTTCTCAGTGATTATTATATCTGACAATCATAAAAAGCAATCACTCTTACACAGTTCGTAGTAGGATTTGGGAGAAAGGAAAGATGTGCGCATTTCTTTCAGCATATCCGCCGCGTGTTGAATGCCATCCACAATATTATGTTTATCCTTCAAAATTCATTGTCTGGATGTTTAAAATTCATACCAACGATCGCTCCATTTGAAACGAGCATTGCTTGGCGCTCGTGAGTGCCTCATCCAGCAAGCGGCTTTGGTCCAGGGAATGCATCCTTGAGATGTAACGCAAAGATTCATCCGACCCGCCTGATTCAGGTCAGGTCAAGTCAGGTCAGGTCAGGTCAGGTCAGGTCAGGTCAGGTTGCACAGGACTGAATATGGCCGCAGCCAGTCGAGCGTCCAGAATTCCTTCGATAGTATGCTCACAACGTGGGCACCCAGCACTGCTGAA